GGGCTGATCTGAAGCCAGGAGCCAGGAGCTTCTTCCAAGTCTCCTGCGTGGTTGCAGGGACCCAAGCACTTGGGCCATCTTCTACTGCTTTCCCAGGCCACAGCAGAGAGCTGGATCAGAAGTGGAGCAGCTGGATCCCAAACCTGTGTCCATATGAGATGCCAGCACTGCAGCGCCAGCCCCAAAATAAATAAATCTGTAAAAGAAAAACAAAAACACTCCTCCTCTTCCTCCCATGGCCAGCAACCTGAAAATTGCTATTGTAGCAAAACCACCTTTGGGAGGCACCAGCTGAAAATATCCGGCAAGGGTACTGACCACATCCTGTGATGACCTATATCCCACCATGATACCATTATAGCAAAATCACCATGGCTGACACTCCTACTCCCATCATGCACTTCCTACCATGACACTTCAGAGACTTCCTAAAAGGCCAGAAAATGGGAAGTCACCAAATTCCTGGAAACCCCACCCAAAGCAGCACCCATGCCTCCAGATCGCATAAAGGCATGACCCCAAGCTTCACAGGTGGCAGCCCACTTCTGAGCCTGCCTGCATTTCCTCTGTGTGTACTTTTGCTTTGCTAATAAATCTTACTCCCCTGCTACTGCTCACCTTTACATCTCATGCCTGAATTCTTTCATGTGCCAGAGAGAACCTGGAATCCTTGGCCCAACGAGCCAGCTCCACCTTAGGACTTGGAGCCTGCTGATCCTCATATCCTTGAGTCACCTGTGCTATGACAGAACTTGGGCCAGCCAGGACCATAGCTGAGAAGTGACGCTGGTCAGAGCTGCGGCAGGGATTACAAAGACCGTGGCTAGATCCAATGAGCTGAATCCGAAAGCTTAGAAGTCATCCAAGGAACTGACACGACTCATGTCTGCCTCTAGTCCACCTGCTGCAGCCAGCGGCATCGCCTGCGCAGAGCCCATGTTCCTGGGAACCACTAGGCCTTAGCCCATGAAGGGTCTCCTGCCCACTGGGCTCAAAGCCCCCTGGACATGCATTGAGTCCCCTACCCGACACAGCCTGCGGGGCCCTGAGTTGGCCTGTCTTGGCCCTTTGCTCACTGGCGCGCACCGTGTTTTTCCTGTGAATCCTTGAGCCACCAGCTCCTTGAGGGCTGTTAGTGACTTACTCACCACCTGACAGCTGGGTCCCTAAAAGGACTCGCTGAGCCCTGCTGAATGAAATGGAGGAGGCACGGGACCCAGCCTCCAGCCCCCAGCCCCAACCACCCGTGGACAATGTGGGACCTCGGTTATCAAGTCCTGCCCCAGTCTTCCAGTCACAGGCAAGCAATCCAGTTCCTTCCAACCTCATTCACCCCCCTCACCTGGGGGCTTTCTCTTCTCAAGGCTTCTGAATTTGTCAGGATTCCCCTCTTGAGTGTGGCAGCCAGAGTGAGTTGAGACACATGTTTTCCTCACATTCCATCCAAAAACTGTAAAACTGGGCAATGCTAATGCTGCAACAGAAACCAGCAGCTGAGCCAAAAATGGGATCCAGGTCTTCCAATGCCCGAATCAGTCCAACACGACCTAAGGGCAGTTAATACTAGATTAGGAACCTGAACCCAGTTAATTTCCCACCTGGACCTTCATTCCCCAGATGGCTGTGGTGGCTGGGGCTGGGCCAGGTGGCAGCCAGGAGCCTGGAACTCCCACATGGGTGCAGGAGCCCAGGCACTTGGGCCATCATCCACTGCTTTCCCAGGTGTATTAACAAGGAGCTGGGTCAGAAGCAGAGCAGCCGGGACCAAACTGACATCCTGACACGGGACGCCAGCATCGCCAGTGGTGACTGACCCGCTGTGCCACAGCACCGCCTCCCCCGTTGACTTCTCTGTTGTCCGTTTCCATAGCCAACTCGCGAGTGCAAGACCAAGGCAGAGCTCCACGAGAGGCCAGCGGGCGTTTCTGCCGGGGGTCAGGGCAGCAGCTGAGGAAAGGCAAGGTAGAAATGAGAAAGTGCCCCGCGGAGCGGACCAAATCATTTAACAACATGGGTTCAGAACCTCTCTGCCTGCAGCTGATACCCTAGAGGGGAAGAGGAATAAAGTAAAAAACATGGGGCAAGTGGAGCAACTGACGGGGACACCCACACACCACTGCAGAGTGCCTGGTTCTAGCCTTAGCCACTCTGCACCGCTGATCCAGCTTCCTGATAATATGCCTGGGACGCAGCAGGTGATGGTTCACATCCTTGGGTTCCTGCTATCCCCATGGGAAACCTGGATGGAGTTCCTGGCCCTTGGCTTCGGCCCATCCTAGCTCTGACTGATGCAGGCATTTGGGGAGTGAATCAGTGGATGGAAGATCTTTCTGTCTCTGTCACTCTGCCTTTCAAGCAAAAAAAAAAAAAAAAAAAAAAAAAAAAAAAAAAAATTAAAGATGTATTTATTTATTTGAAAGGCAGAGTGACAGACAGGCAGAGGCAGAGAGAGAGAGAAAGAGAGGTCTTCCATCCGCTGGTTCACTCCCCAGATGGCCGAAATGGCCGAAGCTGCGCTGATCTGAAGCCAGGAGCCAGGAGCTTCTTCCGGGTCTCCCACATGGGTGCAGGGGCCCAAGGACTTGGGCCATCTTCTACTGCTTTCCCAGGCCACAGCAGAGAGTTGATTAGAAGTGGAGCAGCCAGCACTCCAACTGGCACCCATATGAGATGCCGGCACTGCAGGTGGCAGCTTTACCTGCTACATCACAGCGCCGGCCCCTCAAATAAAATCTTAAATGAAAGTAATCAACACTACAGAAAAAGAACCACAACAGCGTGAGGAGCAGGAGGGTGGAGGTTACAGGATTAGAGTTTCAAGCAGGGTGGCCACAGCAGGCCTAACTCGAGCAGACCTTGGATCCAGACCTGAAGGAGGCGAGGAGGCAGCGGAAGAGCAAGCCAGATACAGGGACAACGCAGACACAGGGCTGCTTGCGTCTAACGCTACAAAAGCAACACAAAGTGAAGAACCGCTGGCAACCCTAGTGAAGCCCTTTCTCCCACCCCTATTAAATGTTTCCACATTATTTGAAAAAGGCAAAGATCTTCCACTCACCTGTTCACTCCCCACATGTCTGCAGAAGCTGGGGCTGGGTCAGGAGGAAACCAGAGCCGGGAAGTCAATCCGGATGTCCCATGAGGGTGGCAGGGACCCTCTAGTTGAGTCATCACCTGTTTCCTAGTGTGTGCATTAGCAGGAAGCTGGAATTGGAAGAGGAGCGGGTACTCGAACCCAGAACCTCTGGGCTGAATGCCCGTGATCACTCTGATCTCAGGGCAGCAGTGTGAACAGGCACAATGCGGACTTCCTGAGATGTCAGAGCCCACTGCTCCAGGCAGAAGAGGGAGGCAGCATTTTGCTGGAAGGCTTCTGAGGAGATGGCAGGAATCATACATACCATTACTCCTTTGCTGGTTTGCTCCATGAAGCGAGGTTTTCAAGCAAGATGTAATGCCCAGGGCAGGATATATAACCAACTGTAGCATGTGTGTTGACATACAGAAAAGTGGCATAAAGCAGGCCAGTAATAATTCATGAAATCTAATGACTGAGGGGCCGGCACTGTGGCATAGTGGGTAAAACTGCTGTCTGAGTGCCGGCATCCCATATGGGCGCCAGTTCAAGTCCTGGCTGCTCCACTTCCGATCCAGCTCTCTGCTATGGCCTGGGAAAACAGTAGAAGATGGCCCAAGCCCTTGGGCCCCTGCACCCGCATGGGAAGAGCTGGAGAAAGTTCCTGGCTCCTGATTCCAACCGTTGCAGCCAACTGGGGAGTCAAACAGCGGATGGAAGACTCTCTCTCTCTCTGACTCTGCTCTCTCTGTGTAACTCTTTCAAGTAAATAAATAAATCTTTTAAAAAAATCTGATGACTGAACCTAAAAATTACCTGTTTCTATGACACACGGTCACATCTAGCATGTATTATATTTAAGTAGAAAGGGGCCCCAGCACTAAAGTCCACACTGGGAGAAAACATTTATCAAATTCACAACTTATACTTCTATTTAAATCTCTGTGTCCAAGGTCGGCTGTTCACAGCATTTATAAAGACATAGATAGCTCTGCCCTTTCAAGTGAACCCACTTTGATTGGCATATGCTGCTTGTCTTTTCTGGGGGAGCTACTTTCATAAATAGTATGTGCTAACAACAATGGCCAGGGGGCAGGCATCACGGTGCAGCAGGTTAAGCTGCCACCCGGGACACACGCATACCGTGTCAGAGTGCCTGGCTCAAGTCCCAGCTACTCTGTGCTGGAAGCGTCCTGCTTACACGCCCGAGAGGCAGCAGATGGTTCCTGCCAACCACATGGCAGACCTACCTGGAGTCCCTGGCTCCTGGTTTTGACCTGGCCCAGCTCTGGCTGTTGCAGCCATTTGCGGAGTGAACTAGCAGATGGAACTCTCTCTCTCTCTGCCTTCCAGTTAATAAATATTGTTTTAAAATGGCAAGGTAGGGGGTTGGCACTGTGGCATAGTGGGTAAAACTGCTGCCTCTATATAACATCCCATATGGGCTCCAGATCGAGTCCCGGCTGTTCCACTTCTGATTCAGCTCCCTGCTGTGGCCTGGGAAAGCAGTAGAAGATGGCCCAGGTCCTTGGGCCCCTGCACCCACGTGGGAGACCTGGAAGAGGCTCCTGGTTTCAGATCAGCGCAGCTCCGGCCATTGTAGCCATCTGGAGGGTAAACCAGCAGATGAAAGATCTCTCTCTCTACATAACTCTGCCTGTCAAATAAATAAACCTTTAAAAAAATATGCCAAGGTAAAACCCAAGACAATGACCTGTGTCTTCTGGGGACAGATGCTGTATTGCATCCTTAAATTTTCCTTCCCTGCTTCCCTCCTCTCTCCCCGAAGGATGTGCGTGTAGTAGAAACATCTTTTCGCCTCCACAGCGTTTCACTACCTTGTATAATGTTCAAAGGTAGGTCCAGTCTGGTCTTCAAACAGAAAAACTGCTAACAGGATAAGTAATAAGCCAGTCACATAAGGTATGCACTAATAAAAATTTAATATCATAAAACAAATCAGAAAACAGCAATTTTTTTTAACCATTCACAATTAAAGTGGAAAGAGACAAAATTATAAGGCAGCCATCCATGGAATGATTTCATGTTTACAAAGGATCCAGAAAAAGGGACATTTAGAACCACTGCCCAGGCCACTGAGCCAGGGGAACTGCAGTGTTATCCCGCTATCCCACGAGACTCCAACTTGCTGGAAGATGCCATCAGAAAAAAGGCCAATGCGTCTCCCGTGTGAGCAACTGCGTTAGGCTAAGCCCACGCAGAGATCTCCTAATGCTTGTCTAGTCCTTTCTCACAAGCCACAACTTCCCGTCAGGTCTCCCAGGTAACTCTGGGAGTCTCTGGTAAAAACAGGTTACATCCTGAGTCTTCACTTCACAGCAACTCCACCAGTGCTCGTGGGTGACGTGGGCCATTCTATACTGAGCAGAAAGTTTGTGACGCGAGGAAGCTCCCCCCGCAGAGCATCTGAGGAGGGCTCTCTCCTCGAACTGCAGCAGTGGAGGGTGAATCTGGTCATTATTCTCAGTCTCTCCAAGGGGTCCGAAAGGCAGAACATTCTTTGGGGGCTTGTGCTGTTGACATAGAGTTCCCATGTTCAGTACCTAGCTACCATGTGTCAGGGGCTTAATACACTCCAGTGCTGGTGTGTCCTCCTAGTTCTACACCTTGAAAAGGAGAAAAATTGGGTAGAAAACACTAAGAAGTAGGCTGCTACCAAAAAATTACACTTTCCTTTCTACAAAGAAATGGCACCTCCAAACAGCCCCTCTCTTTTTCTAATGATTCACAATGCTCCAACAGGGCGGACTCAGCTACTCTGAACTGGGAAATAAAAAGGCGAGGGAGGGGGAGAACACACAGCCTCTCAGGTAGTACCATTCCCAACATTATGTTTTGGTGCAGAAACTTTGCCTACAACACAGAAAGCTGACAACAGCATGCACAGGAAAACCGAATCAAACCTGGGACATCACTGCTTTGCTGAGACGGAGACCGAGCTGCAGCGAGGGGAACGGGTTAACACGGCTCTACTTCATTCGCCTGCAGGAGAGCACTGGGAACCTGAAAACTCTCTGCCAGGAAGAGGGAGCGGAACTGCAACTCATTAACTTTGGTTCTGAGGAAGGACCATGCTTTTCACCACCAACCGCGTCTCTTTGGTAGCCAATAATTCCTTCTGTAATCACGGCAGCGACTTCTGTTTTGCCAGTGTCTTCCAGTGTGTTGGGACGTTAAGGCATCCACATCTCAGGAGGCAGTTTGAAACCGGAGGAAGGAACCGGAACGTGCCCGAGTGAACACGGATGTGGTCTCTTGCGCACGAGCGGGTGCTCCCTCCAGGAAGGCGGCCTCGGCCGTGCTGCTGGCCTCCTGGCTGCCTGCAGCTGCATGTGAGCCCTGTAGATTTATATGGCTATTTCTGCCTGCTGCCCAGGACAGAAAATGAGTAGTTCCTGGGGCAGCAGCTACAAAATCGGGGAAAGCCCATAGCTTCTGAGAGCTGAAAGGGCCTTGAAAGGTTTGCTTGTTAATAGTAAGGTCCACAGGGGAAGGCAAATTTGTAAGTCAGATGTTTTAATTCTTGCAAGATACTCTAGCCAAACTTTTAAGCAGGATGGCAAGGCACTGCTGCGGGAGGCTTTGGCCAGCAGAACAAACTTCTGACCATTGCACACGTCAATATTATAGAAAACACTACTATTCGAACCAAACCAGACACTAAAATTTGCGATTATGTGACAAAGTCAGTTTCCAGAGAGAATCAAGGCACCCGTGGCGGAACCTAGATGGGACCCCAAGCCTCTCATAAGCCAGCTGTGGCCATCTACACAGGAGAGTCACTGAGACTTTCCACACTGTCCCTCTTGATTTGAAAACTTTGTGCAGTGGTTGCCAGACACTAGGTAGAACCACAACCTATTTATGCTGCTTCCTCCACTGCAGCCAGCAGGGGGCTCACAAGTTTTATTTCCACAGCTGCTGACTCAGTGACAAATCTACAAAAGAACAAAAAGCAATCACAGGCATGCTGGCTTCTGCATCACATTTTATAAAACATTTTTACAAATGACTAAATTCACTGCCCTGAAGAAATTAGTCTTGGTTCCCTCTTGATGCGATGTGTTTTGAAATGGTACAGAAAATCAAAATAAATTAATAATACAATATTATACACTTATTTGACAAAACAGAGCTTAGGCATATTTTGGCAAATATGAAAAAAATCACCCTAGCTTGTTAAACATTTTTGCTATCTCAGCTGTTTGAATAGGTGACTGAGTCAACTCACACACCAGGGGGTGATATCTTAAGGGGTTAACAAAGCTGCACTTGACACAAAGGTAACTTCTTTGAACGGAACAGAGATAGAGACACTGTTATCTTCATCATCACAGTTCAAGAAGTGGTTGTCCTCAGAGAACTCCTCTCACACAAGTATTAACATCACCACCGCCAGTAAGCAGCAAAGTGTGAGGAGGAGGGGCTGGAGGGAAAAGTCAGGAGAGAAGCACGAAGAGAAGGGACAAGAGACATGATTTCAACAAGCTTTAAATCAACAGGCCAACACTTCCCACTATGACACACAGAGACCTGCTTCACTGCTACAGGTGCTGATGTGAGCAGACACAGAGCACCCCAAGCTGACCAAGTATTTAGCCAGAGGGAAAAACATGTAAAAGAAACAGCCACAGCAAAAATCCCACGAATTTTGGTAGTCTTATTTTAAAAAGATTACTACAAAGATGTCAATAACTACCCAAGTTCACTTAAAATTTATCCCTTCATTTCCAAAGATACTTTGTGATCTAACTGTTTAAAGGAAGCCTAGGCCTGGCTCCTCTAAGAATGTGTTGGGGGCAGGTATTCTGCAAAGGAAAACTTGAATAGAAATGCTACAAAGGCCTCCTCACCTCCTCAGAAGCTGGTCCTACCCGTTTGGAGGCCAGCTGCTCCCGCACCGGAATGGCAGGCCGTGAGAAGCCCATGCAGAGAGAGCTCTTTCTGTCTCTGCAGACGTCCCTTTCCATGGCACAAAGTCACCGTCAGTGCGGCCTGCATAATTTTCCCGACTCCAGCCCCCAGTGGACTGCAGTCACCGTGAGCATCGAGGAAGAATGGGTGCTGTGACCTTCTATCAAGGCATATGGCACGGATGCTAGAGCACCAGGCTTACATGGCGAGAGCCATGTCACACACCAATGGGCAAGGTGCCAGAGCCTCTACACTAACAAGGAGGGTCAGTTCAATTACAGAATACTGTATTTTCATAATTACTATTTCATTGTGAGTATGACGTTCTCCACTTTTCTTTAAAACTAAATTCCATCTTCCCTGAGAATAGGGTTAAGAGAAACATCAAAACTCAAAATGCCAAGGGCCCTTTAAAAGACAACACAGTGGAATGTCTACACCTAATTGTAATGTGTTGTTTCTACTCTAAAAGCATTCCCATGTCTCCAGGTTTTCATCTCACCTCCCTCTGGACTCTAGGAATACAGGTGGAGATGGGCAAGGCCAGACAAGACTGAGGAGGCGAGCAGCTGTCACGTGCCGGGCTGTTCTCACTGGACGGCAAGGAACCCCTGGCCGGGGCTGCCGCCTGAACACTTAGTGCTGGTGTCCTACTGACAGGATGAGTGGGATGAGGCAACCCAGAACCAGGGCTGCCACTTCCAGGCGGCTGAGGCCTTTCCCTCCGCTGGTGTCCGGTCTGTGGCTGTGCCCCATTCCGCCCACTTCGGGGAGGACGTGTACTGTGGCCACGTAAAGAAAGGTCCCGGCAGAGAAAAGCATGGCCACTCCAGTGGCATTGACCTCTGAAAGGGCTTCTTTACTGCTCTGTGAATTACAAGAGAGAAAGAGACACACTGAATCAATGAGTTCAGGGAGGAAGTCTCAATGAAACACACACGACACTCACACCTGGGGGCGCCTGGGACACTGTGGGGCTCCTGGATTCACAGTGATTTTATGTTACTGGTAAGAAGCTTCCAAATAAGGGTTGGAGAATATTAGTGCTTTTTAACATTTTGCATGTAAACTGACAATGTATCCTTGTGTATATGGGGTATTTATGGGGTATACAAAGTAATATTATGACTTGTGAATACAATGTAGAATTAAATCAACCTAATTAACAAACCTATCACCTCAAATATGTACCCTTTTTTTGTGATGAAAACATTTGAAATTTATTCTTTCTGCAATTTTGAAGTGTGTAATAATATACCATTATGGACCATTTTTACCGCAATTGTCTTTTAAAACAAACTTCAAGGGCTAGTCGAACAGGTTTGGCCTGCATGACGCTGGAGAGGGAATAAACAACATACTAACGTGGATGTTATATTTCAGACAGAATTCATTCATGCTTATAGTTAACGAACATTCCCTACGCACCAGCCTCTAGGCCAGGTGCTTGAGACACAGCGGCAACCAAGACATAGTAACTGCTCTCACACAGCTTAAATGTACTTCACAGGGTAATCTTCATCCAACTAATTTCAACTTTTCCTCTTAAATAAGTGGACTTATGGATATGATGACTGATTAAAATTTAAGAGAAGAACATGCAAAAAGGTTGTTTAGCCTAGAGGTTAAGGACTCCTGTGAGCAACATTGGACTGCGTGGGTTCAACCCAGCTCTGGCTCCTGATTCCAGCTTCCTACTATGCAGACCCCAGGAGGACCTCAACTAACTGGGTCCATTCCCCACCTCCCAAGCTTCGGGCTTCTAACCACTATGGGCATTTGGGGAGTGAACCAGTAGATGGGACCTGTCTCTCCTTGACTGCCTTTCAGAAAATAGAGGGGCATGGGTGGGTGGGTGTGCTGGCACTGTGGTATAGTGGGTTAAGCTGCTGCCAGTGACTGGTTTGTCCTGGCTGCTCCACTTCTGATCCAGCTCCCTGATAATGTGCCTGGGAAAGCACTGGAGGACGGCTCAAGTGCTTGGGGCCCTGCACCCATGTGGGGGACCTGGAAGACACTCCTGGCTTTGGCCTGGCCTTGTCCTGGCTGTTGCAGCATAATTTGGGAGTGAACCAACAGATGGAAGATCTCTCTCTGTTAACTCTGTCTTTCAAGTAAATAAATAAATATTAAAAAAAAAAGTTCTAAAAACTTACATCGATCTATGAAATGATAGAGTAATACATTTTTAAAATCATCTTTTTTTTTTTTCTAAAAGGATTTATTTATTTGAAAGATAGTCACAGAGAGGGAGAAAGTCTTCTCTTTGCTGGTTCACTCCCCAAATGGTCACAATGGTTGGGGCTGTGCAATGGGTACCCTAGGGGTCCAAAGACTTGAGCCATCTTCCTTTGCTTTCCCAGGTGCATTAGCAGGGAGCTGGATTGGAAGTGGCATAGCTGGGACTCAAACAGGCACCCATGTGGAATGCCCAGCACTGAAGGCAGCAGCTTAACCCACTACACCATAACGCCAGGCCCCAGAGTAATATTTTACACTTGATCTTAGCCAAAGGGCTGAGAAGCAATGACAGTAATATTTTATTTTAAAGATTTATTGATTTATTTATTTGAAAGGCAGATTATAGAGAGGCAGAGGCAGAGGCAGGGAGAAGAGAGAGGTGGTTCACTCCCAAGTTGGCTGCAATGGCTGGAGCTGCAGCGATCCAAAGCCAGGAGCCAGGAGCTTCTTTCAGGTCTCCCATGTGGGTGCAGGGGCCCAAGGACTTGGGCTATTATTCATTGCTTTCCCAAGCCATAGCAGAGAGCAGCTTTACCCACCACGCCACAGCACCAGCCCCAGAAATTTTTTTTTCTTTTATTTATTTACTTGACAGGTAGAGTTATAGACAGTGAGAGAGAGACAGAGAAAGGTCTTCCCTCTGTTGGTTCACTCCCCAAATGGCCGCTACGGCCGGTGCTGCGCCGATCCGAAGCCAGGAGCCAGGTGCAGGGGCCCAAGCACTTGGGCCATCCTCCACTGCCCTCCTGGGCCACAGCAGAGAGCTGGACTGGAAGAGGAGCAACTGGGACGGAATCAGGCACCCATATGGGATGCCAGCGCTGCAGGCGGAGGATTAACCATGGCACCGGTCCCCTCCCTAGTAATATTTTAAAAGGAACTATATAATGCTCTTTGATTGACAGATGGCAGAGCACTTGTGAATGGAAACGGGTTTCATCGCAACTCATTCGTTAGCAACTGAGATCAACAACCCCTTGATTAACAGGAAATTAACCATCTCCTGTGTCATATATCCTTTTTAATGCAAGTTTTATTTTATCAAATACTGAACTGCTTTGACACTCAGAGGTCGATGACCTTCAGAAAGGACATGTGGAAATACAGTTCTCAGTGTGGTTCTAAGATTTTCCTGCCAGGTGACCTTAAGGCAAAAATGGGCAGGGCTACTGCTACACAGCAGCCCAGGTAGACAGAATTACCGGACATGGAAAGGCCCTTCTTAGAAACAACAGATCACCCAGCCTCTGTGCTGACAAATGACACAGGTCACACTAGGTCTGCAACTAGGTTCAGGACAATGATAAAGAACTGCACATTTGATGTTCAATGATGGGAGAGCTGGCAGAGCAACCTGGGTCTTAGCTGAATGCCACCGTCTGCTCATGCCCGACCTCCTGCCACTCACGCTTTATGTGCCCACCTCAATCAGCAATAAGCATGGATGGTTGTGACTTACACATGTGTCAAATAAAATGAACAAAACTGGATAAGTTATGTATTAAGTACTGAAATATTATCACGTATTTGTATATTCTTGGAAATGATAAGGAAGAAATTTTCTAATAAAAAATAAGGAAATGCTAAATTTTAATCAAAAGAATTGACTTGGAATGAAACCACATACCTCACAGAGGTTTCACTTTGATGCTTTAAGAGGGCAATTTTGTTCAAAAAGTCCACACTCAGAGATCACAGGCCTAGCAGTGAAGCCACCTTTGTTGTCCCTCACTGGAATGCCTGGCCTCAATTCCTGGTTTCAGCTCTCCACTCCAGCTTCCCACCAGTGCAGACCCTGGGAGGCAGGGCTGACAGCTTCAATTAACCAGGTTCCTGCCTCCCACATGGGAAACCCGGATTAGGTTCTCGGTTCCTAGTTCTGGCCCCACCCCAGCCCTTGCTGTTGTGGGTATTGAGGGAGTGACCCAGCGGATGGGAGGTCTCTGTCTACTCTCTCTGCCCTACAAATAAATAATTTAAAGGAGATCATCAAGTTCCCATAGACCACAGAATGAAGCAGAAGCTCGCCTGGAAAGGCTGGGGATGCTCAGGCTTACCTTACTGAGTCCTAAGTACGTCACCATGGACATGACCGGCGCTGCCAGCGCGAAGACCAGCAGGTGCTTTCTGATTCGATTCCGCTCCAGGCCAGCATGCATTAAGAAGGAAACCAGCCCAAAAGCAGCTGGTGCCTGGAAATTAAAAAAAAAGAAAGAAATTATCCCTTATTATCATCCTAGAAATATGGGTTGTTTCTATATCAAGAGGAACATGTCGGGGCTGGTGTTGTGGCGTAGTGCCGGTTTGAGTTCAGGCTGCTCCATTTCCGATCCAGCTCTCTGCTATGGTCTGGAAAACCGTGGAAGATGGCCCAAGTGCTTGGGCCCCTGCACCCACGTGGGAGACCTGGGAGAAGCTCCTGGCTCTGGCCTGTCCCAGCCCTGGCGGCTGCGGCCATTTGGGGAGTGAACCAGCAGATGGAAGATCTCTGTCTCTCTCTCTCTCTCTCTCTCTGTCTTTCAAATAAATAAATCTTACAAAAAAGGGAAAAAAAAAGAAATCCTGTCATCTAGCTAGAAGACACTACAAATGAGTAGAGTGAGTAGCATAGCCAAGGAATAATTCAATTTCACAAACAGTAAGTTACAAAAAAAAAGGGGCGGGGGGGGGAGTGCTGGCACTGTGGTGTACAAGGTTAAACATCTGCCTGCAGTGTTGGCATCCCATATAGGCACTGGTTTGAGTCCCGGCTGCTCCACTTCTGGTCCAGCTCCCAGTTGAGGGCCTGGGAAAGCAGTAGAAAATGGCCCAAGTGGTTGGGCCCCTGCACCTGTGTGCGAGACCCAAAAGAAACTCCTGGCTCCTGGCTTCAGCCCAGATCCTGCAATTGCAGCCATTTGGGGAGTGAACCAGCAGATGGAAGACCTATCTCTCTGTAACTCTACCTCTCAAGTAAATAAATAAATCTTTAAAAAAGAGAGGAACAGGGGCTGGCACTATGGTGTTAACAGGTAAAGCCACTGCCTGGAGTGCTGGCATCCCACATGAGCGCCGGTTTGAGACCTGGCTGCTTCACTTCTGATCCAGCTCTCTGCTGTAGCCTGGGAAAGCAGTAGAAGATGGCCCAAGTCCTTGGGCCCCTGCACCCACAAGGAAGACCTGGAAAAAGCTCCTGGCTCCTGGCTTCAGATCACACCAGTTCTGGCCATTGAGGCCATTTGGGGAGTGAACCAGTGGATGGAAGACCTCTCTCACTCTCCCTTTGCCTCTGCGCTCTGTAGCTCTGCCTTTCAAATAAATAAATAAATCTCTTTTTAAAAAAAGAGGCAAATGTTATATGACTGAATTCTCAAACCAAAAAGCCAGGCCCATTATCCCAGAATGAGCTCTGCCATTTAGGAATTAAAAGCTAAGAAAAGATCCTATGGGATGTGTGTGTGTGTGTGTGCATGCACACATGTGTGTGTGCATATTTCTTGGATGGTATACAAGGGAAACAGTCAGGAGAAGAAAAATCCTTGTGGACAAAAATTAATATGAAATACAAAAATCCATAACAGTTTGTATATATGGCCAAAAAACACTTAAAACTCCTCAAGTAAAAGCTTAAGAGAACAGTAGCAAAAAACAGTTGGGGTTGACATTGTGGCATAGTGGTTAAAGTCGGCCCTTACACTGCCGGCATCCCCTATGGGTGCTAGTTTGAATCCTGGCTGTTCCACTTCCTGTTCAGCTCTCTGCTAAAACCTAGGAAAGCAGTAGAAGATGGCCCAAGTCATTGGGCCCCTGCACCCGTGTGGGAGACCTGGAAGAAGCTCCTAGCTCCTGGCTTCAGATTGGCTCAGCTCCAGCTGTTGCGGCCATCTGGGGAGTGAACCAGCAGATGGAAGACCTTTCTCTTTCTCTCTGCCTCTGCCCTCAAAAGCTCTGCCAATAAATAAATAAATAACTCTCAAACAACAACAAAGCGAAAGATGACGC